ACGAAAGAACAAACCCCAGGCGTAATTGGTTAAATAAAAGCACTTGATTTTTCTGGACGTCTATAGAAATTTGATTTGTTTCTGATTCGTTTCCCACTGCTTTGCCCATGGTACATACCATACGTCTCACGTGAATCTTTGAACTATTATTGTACTGAATCTATCTTCGGTGCCTTTAGATCGGTCCCAGCACCTTGCACCGAGGCCCCTGAAACTGTTGATCTCAAAAAAATCTTAGCAGTCCCGAAATAACATACCACTATATCCCATGTCTAGAGCAAACCGGCTTCTCTTTAACACCGTTCAAAAACCCGATAAAGGCCTTTCAAATTTGCAACCTCGAGAACTCCGTCTTCCATTAGCGACTTAGTCGCTACCAATCTCGCTTTAAATGCCGGAAAGAAGACATGCTCAATAGCGTGTCTGATATGTTGGCGCCTTGCCCGCAACTCGTCTGGGATGTCCTCCTCACCAAGACTTTCTGCATCACCAGGCAAACTTGGCAATTGTTCTGGAACGTAAAAGGTAGCTAGTTCGCGTACGAAAGAGTCAAAGCAGGCCTTCTCTTCAGTCCAGTCAACACTAGGGCCAAGACGGAGGAGGAAACGAGGGAGCTTAACGAGAGGTGGCGTATACCCCTTCAATAGTAGTGGCAATGAAACAAGCTCGCCAGCAGGTGATACCTCGAGAGAGAAGTATTCAAGAAGCATCTCGCGGCGTTCAATGAGTTGATCTGCTACCCGGTCTACCAAAGTTTCCACGTCAAAATCTTCCTCGGGTGAGGTTATAGAGCTCCTCTCCATATCGGCTGCCACCCGAAGCAGCTCGCGAAGGTCCAACGAGGGGTTAAATTTGATGGCACCAAAATTGCCAAAATCTGTAAGTGCCAATTGGTAGAAATACTCGTAGCAAGTTCGACCGTAATCGATCAGGTAGAGTTTGACGTCGCCCTGGATTGCTGCCAGCCGTCTTTGTTCATCCACGATACCGACGAAAGTATGGTTGGAGAATATCTCGGTCAGATCGTGGTGTATATCTTCTCTGACTTCGTCTCTCAACTTTTTCACGCTGTTCAGTCGGCATTGCACAAGTTCGCGGTCGATCATCTCGTACTCATGAACCTCAGGGGCAGTAGTTGTTTCCGCTGTGCGGTCCACAGAGCCATTCGACTCGCTTGGGCCAGCTCGGGCAAACATAGATGTAATCTTCCGCTCAGTTGTATCCGTCCTCACTAGATCATTCGAATATCTTCGCTTCTTTGATGCTGGAGTTCTTCGACTCGGTGTGCCGTCACTGTCTGTTTGTGGGGTGGAGTCGATCACTTTTGCACCAGGAAGAAGTGTCTGTGTCATAAATGTCCGACTTGTGTCCACTGCGGCAAGTTTAGATTCGATATGTTCACATATCGATTGAATTATCTCATCTTCGTTGAGAAAGTGAACCTCTCTCTTTGTTGGATGAACATTGACATCCACCCGCGCTGGTTCAATTTCAAGACTGAGGTAAATGAATGGGTGACCATTCTTGGGCAAGAAGTTAGCATAGGTCTGCTCGATTGCCTTCTTTATGTGGGTTGATTCTACACATCGATGGTTGATGAATAGCAGAAGTGTTGTCTTTTTGACAGAGTAATTTGCATTGGTTGTGAAGCCCTCAGCTTTGAAACCCCAACGATCTTCGGCGACCGAGAACTCCAAGAGTTCGTTAGCCACGGCACTACCGTGAATTTGACGAATGCGATCAATGACTGTAGCCTGGGCTTGTATTGATAGATTGGTTGAGGCTTCGCCTGCCTTCTTGCAAGTGAATCCAACGCCTTTGCAGTGCACAGCGTACCGACCAACCATATCGATGATCTTGTTGAACTCATCAGCCGGTGATCGAAAGGCTCTCCTTCGAGTTGGGATATTATAGAAAAGGTCTTCCACGGTGATTTGTGTCCCAGGACGGCCTGCAACACCTTTGGGCTCTGCCGACTGGCCAGGCTTTGCTGGAGCAAGTTTCCCATCAAGGTAATGGGCCCTCCATGCCAGGTCTGAATCTTTCGTCTTGGTGGTCACAGAGAGATGGGCGATGTGGCTGATACTGGCAAGAGCCTCGCCCCTGAAGCCATATGTCGCGATGGCGGCCAGATCTTCAAAGCTGGTGATCTTTGATGTGGTGTGACGCTCACAGAGAATGGCTAAGTCTTCTTTCTGTTACAATGGTAAGCCTTGAGGATATGCATTCGGGTGATAATTTTATTACCTGGATACCACAGCCATTGTCGGTTATCTGGAGCAGCTTGAGCCCGCCGTCCTTGGCGAGGACATCCAGAGAGGTCGCCCCGGCATCAACCGCGTTCTCGATGAGCTCCTTGAGAGCGTGAACAGGGGCCACAATAATTTCACCAGCAGCAATTTTGTTCACCACGTTTGGGTCGAGCGCCTGCAGGTCATGTTAGCGGGCGAGTCCAGGCTATGCATAAGGCGTCGAAGAAACAGCCTCAAGTTTGCATACCTTGATTCTGCGAGGCGCATCACTTTTTGCGGGTGGGTTTTCAACAGGCTGCCCATCGGCGTTTCTTTTCGTCCCGCTTGGGGGAACATTTAGAATGTCATCGGAGGCTGTTGGGACGCCTCCCATATCAACATCTGCGTCCGTTGCCATTTCTAGCTATGACAACCGAATTCTTGCGCCAGGGCGCAAGAACCAGCCTGTGAGGTGGTACCAAGAATTCTTTTGGGGGTGGTGAAATGCGAATAGGTTGGGCGACAAAAGTTGTAGGTCATGTGCAAGTTGCTTGATATTTCCTCTTCTCTCATTTCGTTCCTCAGGCGTATCGTCCCATATCTACGTTTCCCGTGGCGATTAGGATTGACCGCACGGGATGATAGCCTGGCCCGGGGAAGATATTGCTTTCAATCCGATACGTTGAAAAAAAAAAAAAAGAGAAAAGGGAGCGGTTCATGCAAGACAAGGACAGGCAGTGAACAACAGGTTGTTAGCAGGCCTCATTGATAGGCAATGCGCGGATGAGTTCGGCCACGTGACTACGCTACAACATCAAGGTGCACCTTCCATCCAATATCTTTTCAATTCATCTCGACTTCAAGGCAGGCAGGATGCACTTCGAAAAGGACTTGCCATGTTTGGCGCGTGTAACTTCCAATGATCTTTTATCGGCGCTCACCACATTTCAAATTACAAATAATGGATACGCCAAACAACCTAGGATTCAACTCGCCTTGATTACAGCTCCAGCTGCATCAGACCAGCTTGGGATGAAAGACTTATTGGGGGCGCCGCGGCCAGTGACTCAACTTCATTTAGCGCCCAGGAATTATAAATAAATAAAAAAGGCAACAGAAGGGGAAAGGATGATAAATGATAAACGAGCGTGAATTTTCGCTATCTCAGTGCTGCGTCAGCTCTCGCCGCCGCGCGTAAGGCGGATCGCAAGCGACACAAATGCAGTCAGCAGTGCAGTGCAGTAAAGTTGCACATATTTAGGTACAGCTGAAACATGATGGTTGGCTCATGATGAAGGCTCCAACTGAATTGCTTGAATTAACTAGAGCAGGGGGTTCATGTACCTGGATCGCCCTTTTGCATCATCTTTCAGTTGTGCCACCCGCCTTATAGGGTCAGGTAGACTGTTGTGGTTCTTTGTATAAGCAAGGTTGGGCTCGTGATTCACTAAAATTCTCCTTGTAGTCTAAAGGCGTCTTGCGCATATGCGCTCTTGGTAGCACAGCCTCCATGACGAAGGTTAATGCTGTTAAACCGCCGTTGTTTTTCATGACAAATCTAAACAAGGTTGTTCTTATGATATTTGACGTCAAGTTTGTTTGTTGAGGATTTTCATTGCCGGCCCCTGTCGCCTTGAACGCCTTGTCTTGGTGCCGAACTGACGGTGCTTCTATGAATGTTCTTTCACTTTCAGCCTCCAATCACCAAGCAGCCAGGCGATTTTTTTTTTTTTTTGAATGCACTGCAAATGTCGCCACCTCAAGGTAGCGTTCGTGGCTGTTGCTAACGATTTTTTGACTGAAACACGCGTGTTCATTTGTCAATTTGGCTGCATCTCTCATCCGAATTGGGACATGTTAGGACTCTTTTCAGGACTCTTGACCGTGAAGTTCTGAACGGCTGCCTGAACGCGTAGGCATGGATGATGACAATGATGCGAACCAACGCCCGAGGAAAGGGACAAGAGAGAAGAGACTCATCGCAATATTCTCTCACCTGATGCATAATTATTTGCCACTGGTGTTTTGCGCAATGTCGCAGCGCAAATCACATAATGTTGTTTTTAAGATCCAGCGTCACAAATGCAGGGACACAATGCATACCAATCTACCTACCTGCCTACATTGTGAATCCATTGCTCCTCTAAAACCTGTGAAAAGCAAGAGAAATGCCTTTTTGTGGCACCTCCAAGCCGTTGCATTGCCTCGTTGTAAGCCTTGATGCTCTTGGGGTAGGCTCTTTCAGTGGATGGTGGTGTCGCTGAATAAGGCACAACCCAAGACACACAGCCCATTTGCAGACACCCATACACATTCTCTTTGTGTGAGTTGCGCACTACGAAATGCAAGGTACCACGCATCGTATGCAGAAGCAGAAGCCAAGCAGTCAGCCCAATGCTAGATTTTTCCATTTTCTTAGACTAAACAGATTGAAAATGGGTCATTCATTCAGCATTACCTCCTTATGCCAGTGGAGGCTAGATACGAGGCAGATGGTCCGCCCATGGTCTGCCATTTCAAAGGATAACGAACCCCCATAAAAGAGATGCTCCGTCTGCTACTCCCAAGAATCATTTCCGTAAGATCTATTCTTTTACTACTCTAGAGTAATCTCTACAATATCTCTGTCGATATTTTCCATATCTTCCATCTTTCAAATCCTTAAATCAATCTCTGTTGGCCCATTCCATCTCATCTAGAGATCGACCTTGAACCCTGCAATCAAGAACCCAACCCCAGATCCTTTGGCACACATCTCAACCATTCAAGATGGCAGCGGACTCACTCCCAAGCTCAAACTCAAAGACACAGTCATCCGGGAGGTGTGTTTCACATTGATCCTTTCTATTGATCTGGTACTAATAAGACATTTTAGCTGTCTCTGCTCGGGCTCTAATCATGAAGGATCATCGCGCTCCAGCTCCTCCGCATCAGACCGTTGCTCCCACTGTAGCTTTCGGCCCCGGTCCCCACCTCTGGGACGCCCCGCATCCGGAGGCCGCGACAGGAACGCCCTCGGACACTTTCATCTCTCGAACTCAGCTACCGGTGTCGCCAATGGAAGTGATCCCCTGGGAGACGAACTTGGTGCTCAATGGGAAGATAGCAAGAAACTCAACCACCAACTGCCCCATCATATGCCCAAGTTGCCGAACATGAACTGAGTAACACATGCGGTCAAAAAAAGCATGTTGGAGTCATATCGAATAAGAGACTAGAGGCAGCGAGTCGGATACAAGACCAACAGTCGCGAGACAAAGTGTATAATAATACTATATTTCTTTTATTTATTCTCAGAGTTTCTTGTAATATTCCTCTTCTCCTCTTTCAAGTATCGTTTTCTTATTGCGATGTGGTGTCGAATTGGCAAACCTAGTCAAATTGGTATATAGAACGCAAAAGCGTGTTTAAATAAGTTCTTACTTGCACCAGTGAAACGCATTAAAACACTCCACTATAACCTCTACGTCTACATCTACATCTATATAAGCAAGATCTACTCTCCCTCCCCGTGACATCATCCTCATGCACCGCCACAGCTCAGCTCATTCATCCCATTCATGTCGGGGCGACGGATCTTCCTCCGCCGTCTAAGCAGGAGTGTCCACCCCTTCTCCCGTCTACCGTCTCCCCAACTGCCGTAACGTTCCATGCGCGGACGGATAATGGGGGGGCGGGCGATGCGGCAGGCAGATGCGGATGGAGATGAACTAACGGCCTCGGAGAATATTTAATTTTAAAAATTTAGGTACCTTACCTGCCTATGGTTTGCAGAACCGGAACATCCATCAATACATCTCTAAACGCACACGCCCCCCGGGAACCCCCTGCGAATCGCACATCAACAGAACCAGATTTGGGTATTGACTCGCACATCACATCCTTCTATTGGATCCATGATTCTGTCTGTGTATATCCGAACTGTACTGCACATATCCGTTGCACTCACTTCTCATTGGCTTTTAAAAGCCCTTCTCTGGCCTTCCTTGTCCTTGTCCTTGTCCTTGTCCTTGCCGCACTGTAACACTCCACTGGCTTCTCACTTATACTTCTGACACCCATAATGCTCATGCTTGTGCTTCTGTTTGTGTTACCAAACACGTGCTATTACTCATTGTATCGCGTCCGGTATTCACATCCTCTTCTTTTCCTCTTGCACAATCTGACTCACTCTCCTCTGTTTTGTCGAGTCTTATTTCTCAGGGCCAGACAAGACATGCCGGCCTCATTCTATGTCCAATTCCATCACAGGGCATCACTGACCTCGTTTACCCGTTCTTTCATATACCACAACGCTTTCAAAGTCAACGAAAACCCCATTCTCCGCTCATACAAAGCTGTCTAACAACAAAGATCAGCCTAACTAAATCCAACTGTATGGATATATTCGACATTGCAAAACTGTTGTCGCTCTCCCCAACCTAACGCCACAGGCTGTAAATGCACAGATGCTTCAGCGACACCACCAGGCCGTATTCACCCTCCTTTCTCGCCCTCATACACGTAACGATACACAAGACACAATCATAACAAGAGGATTATAGTACATGTGGCGTCTAAGTAGACACAAAATCCCGCCGCACTAAAATCAAAACAACTAAAATCAAACAAGTCCTATGTATCTCGACGCTCCACAGGATCCAACTTCCATCTAGCTTTTAGGGGCTAACTCAGGATCCAAATATCAACAACACTATCGCCGCCGCTCAGGGTCATCGGGCTTGTCGATTAGGCCGCCAATATCAACTCGGTTGGACCTTTCCTCGCGTGTCCGTGGGCGAGGCTGCTCTGGGCCTGGCTGAGCTCGAATTGGTGGAAGCTGAAAGGCTGCTTGAGGTCGATAAACGCTTGTAGGGGGCAGCTCGCTTCGGGGAACATTATATGACGGGGGTCCTCCATACTCTGTATGACTTGGCGATGCAGCATACGAAGTTGAACCCGTCCCAGCAGCAACTCCAGGGTTTATGTTGGCAGGCAACTGTGTTGGGGGAACGGCAGCCGGTCGAGATACCAGTGGGACTTCGTTGAATCGACCTCTGGGCATATCGAAAGGTGGTCCTGGCGGCACCGGTGTCCTATACAGAGACTGTGGAGTTGGAGGCTGAGAACCATAGGCATGCGAAGCCTCTCTGGTGGCAGGCGAAGAAGGTAAAGGGTACGCATGCCGGGGTGGTAAGCTCAGGACCATGACAACTACGTATATCGAGCCCTCCTTCTCGAGTCCGAGTCGAACGGGATACTGTCTCGGTTGTCCATCGGCAGCTCTGAAAGTTAGGTATTCATTCCGGTCGAGTTGGAACCGTCCGATATCCTCTGCGCCAAACCCGAGTCCCTGGATGATATGGTCGAGTCGAGAAAGGATCGGAGGTAAATAGTTCGGCTCCTTCCGTGTTTGCTCCTCGATCAGCTGACTTCTAATCGACACAACTTTCTCCCTCTCTGCAGGAACAACGACATCTCCCAAGTTCTGTCCCTGGAGCTCCACATGGCCTACAGCTTCCATAAAAGCTGGCGATGCCTTCGCGAAATCCATCTTCATGTTCAAGAAAGCAACAGGATCTGCTCCTCGAGGTCCGACCGATAGGGGGGGTGGGAAAGTGGGAGCGTCCATATTGGACGCTCGCTCAGGATATCTCGGATTCATATGTTCCCTGTTATTAAATCATTAGCACTTCGACAAAAATGCCAGGACGGCACGTCATCCGCCTTACCCAGGTCCCATTGGAACACCCGAAGGGTATATGCTCAGCGGTCGCCTTGCCGTGGTCTCTTGCGGATGAGGAAATCTCGATGGATCATAGCGAGTTTCACGATCATCCCTTAGTCGCGGTCGTCCTCTTTTCTTATGTTGAACATCGACGCATGATTCTTCCTTCCCATTCGTGATACATCTCGAACATGGGCGTTGTGCTATTAACGTGTTAGCACTCCTTGCCCTCGCGAAGTTAGATCAGAAGCGTGTATCGATATGTGCATCCCCTTTGGCCCAGGATACCCAACACATCGACAAGAGACACAACATGCACTTAATCAGGGCATTGTTTCTTATGACAGGAAGTCCAGCAAGCCGGGAGATAACCGTGGACTAGCCAAGTGCTGGATAGACTGGCATCACCTCCCAATTTTGGAGTAATATTGAGCAGAGAAAGGGTTTCTGCAACATAACGTAAAGGAAAAGATCTCGAAAACATACCATCACAGCTAATTACGAGTTAGCACAGCTAGTTCGCGGGGACACATAGAGGACCACTTACCGAAGATGCGCTCGTTTACAAGGGACACACGCGGAAGCCACATGACCTTTCGTTTTTCTCTGCGATTTCGGTGAAGTCATAGGCTGGTTCTCAACCACGGACGGGCGGACAGATGACGTGTAAGACGAAGGTGCCCCAGGAATTCCAGGAGGAATATAACCAGATGATTGGGGCATGGATGGTCCTCCCGGTTGGATGTACGAAACAGGTCGAGGTACGGTATCTTCTGCCCTTCGATATGGATATGGCGGTGCGTCTGGGGGGGATGGTTGGAACAATCTAGGAAGCGCGGTCTGCATGTTAGGAGGTCCTCGGTGATCAGTCGGTAATTGTTGATTTGAGTTGCCCCAATAAGCATCGGGCTGGCTAGAAGCTGAATATCCCACAGGTGCTTGCCCTCGATCCCCAGCGTCTCGGGGCTGCTTCGAGGGGAGGGGCGGAGATCCTGACATGGGCGGAGAGGGATATGCTCGATATCGAGCAAAGGAGTCTTGCTCTGCACTCTCGGATACCCAGGCCAGGTCTAAGGCAATTTGCGCCAGGTCTGAGATGCCGCGGCGTTGGCCGAGCGGGACGGAAGCTGTATCGGAGAGGGATCCCTTGATGACCATGAGGGCAAAGTTGCTACAGGATTAGTTGGCTGGACAAACAGGAACTCCAACCCTGAGCTAGAAACAACGAAGATACTGGGTTTGTCGTCCTGGTTTGTCTTTGCGATACAGGCAGATTTGATCAGGGCTAATAACTTCCGGTTGTTGTCAATGACCACCTGTCAAGTTCTAACTGCTGACCGAGACAAAGAGGTATCTCTTGTTAAGCTCCAGGTGCAAATTTGACAGCTTCTTACCAGTCCGAAAACCCTTTCTTTCGAGTTGCGAGCTGCAAGGCAGTCGAAGCTGATCTGGATGAAAAGGTGCCCCGCTTCTAAGATCTGCGGAGCTGAGGTGGCAGAGAGGCAGAAGTTACCAAGGGCATTCGGAATGATAGGCTGGCGGTTGTGAAGGAATACTTCAACGGTAGCGAGTCAGGGATCAAAGAAGCGACAAGCGAGTGCCAGAGCGAGGAGGCGTGAGACGAGATGCTGCACCGTGATACTACAAAGATGCGATCTTGGAGAGGTCCTGGTGATACAACGTCAAGCCGTGCAGTTGGGAGGTCGAGACGGAAGCGGCCAACCGCAGATACTCAGGGCCGGAACCTGAGAGGCGGAACCGGGTGAGGTAGGGCGGGTGAGTAAGTATATTCGGGCCCCTTGCTGGCCGGGAGGCCGTGAACACAAGTGATCGGACTGCGGACGGAGACTGTTCGGTGGCCTACGCTTGGTTTTTGTGAGACTATGTATGCAATAAAACCTTCCCTCTGAGTGGCAGCGCGACTGAGATGCAGCTTGGATGGATCAGGATTGGTGACAGGGCCGTAGGACCCTGGTTCGGATTTTAGAGTGGCTGCTAAGTCAATCAAGGGTTCCGGTAGATTTCCATAACGAGAATTCTCCGCCTGCCTTGGTCTTTGCAATATGCGCCAGAAGTTCACCAGAGTGAGAACTTTGGTGCGGAAGCAATAAGACAGAATACGTGATGGTGATTGGGGCGTTATATCAGTTGGAAGTAGTGGTATAGGCGGCGTAATAGTGTGGACGAGCAGAAGCAATATTAGTTACAACTTTCTAGCTTTTGCTTCTCGTTGAGCACCGAGGGAGTGGTCCTTGTTAATCGGTGGAGGGTGCTCTTCAATTTTGATAGCGGGGGTGTAAGGCAAGATCAAGATGAACAAGGGCGGTCGAGGAAGACGCTGAATGGAGTGAGAGAGCCGCCGTAGTCAAGGCGGGCTCGCGCCGACTGGTTGGGTTAGATATCGGCTGTCCCGAAAGGACGGAATTAAGAGAGAAGGGCAACAAAGATAAACAACGA